AGCACTACTACCACTACTGCTGCTACTACTACTACTACTGCTGCTGCTGCTGCTGCTGCTGCTGCTCCTGCTACTGCTACTGCTACTGCCTGCTACTGCCTGCTACTGCTACCACTGCTGCTGCTGCTGCTACTGCTACCACTGCTGCTGCTGCTGCTACTGCTACTGCTCCTGCTACTGCTGCTGCTACTACTACTGCTACTACTGCTACTGCTACCGAACCCACCCAAGCCAAGCCAAGCCAACCTACCCCCCCAACCCATCTAACCCGACCCCACCCAACCCCACCCAACCCCACCCAACCCCACCCAACCCCACCCAACCCAACCCACCCAACCCAACCCCCCAACCCAACCCAACCAACCCAACCTAACCCAACCCCTTCCAACCCAACCCACCTAACCCACCCCACCCAACCCAGCCAACCCAACCCAACCCGACCCAACCCGACCCAACCCCACCAAACCCCACCGAACCCAACGCAACCCAACCACCCTGGCGGCGCCGACGACGACGACGTCTACTCCTCCTGCTGCTGCTGCTGCTGCTTGCAGCACCGGACCTGCACCGAGGCCTCCCGAGACTCCGACTTCCCGGCGGAGTCGCAGCGCTGCAGGGCCGAGGCCGTCAGCGGATGCCACGCGCCGCTTGGTCGACTTCGACGGCATGGAGTAGCACTTGAAACTGAATGATCGAATGTGATGGCGACGGCTCAAGCCACCAGCCCAGCATAGCCCAGCAGGAGCCCAGCTCACCGCCATCAGTCTCAGACCGAGGTTTCCGACAGCATGTCCGTTCCGCAGGTCGAAGACCGGAAGCAGAATGTCAAGGACATCTCGGAGATCGAGAGCGATGTCTCGACGTGCGTTGTAAGCGACTTCTCTACCGACTCGGAGAAGTCTGGTGGCCGACGCCTTTCCTTGTTCAGCCATGGAGCCGTCTTGCCCACAGCCGTCTGCCTTAGCAAGGCTGCTATTGGCGCAGGAGTTTTGACCATGGCAGGCCACGCGGCGGAAGTGGGCATCGTTTTCCAAGCTTTCGCACTGATCGGAGCAGCCGTTCTTTCACTGGCCAGCATTCGATTTATCGCTACGGCCTGCATCGCGACAGGCTGCTACAGCTATGAGGACCTGTGCGACGAATTGCTCCACCCTGTGATGGCCCTCTTCACCGGGTTAATGAACACTCTGAACTGCATGGGTTCTGCAGTTGGCTACCTCATCATTTGCGGCCAGCTCTTTGGCGTGGTCACTGGTGCATCAGAGGCTCACTGCAAGCTGTTCATTGTGCTCACGGGCGTCTTGGTTTGTGCTCCGCTGGCCATTGCCAGGCATGTCAGCTGCATGCGGCATCTGGCTGCAGGGAGCATCGCTGCTCTTCTTACCTTGGTCGCTTGCGTCATGTGGTACTATGCCGAGCACGGAGTAGATGAAACCACTGTCACCCCGGACGATGTGTTTTTCTCTTCCACGGCCACGGCCTTCACCTACATGGCAAGCATTAACAATGTCGTCTTCGCCTACAACAACCAGTTCAATGTGCCACAACTTACTGGGGAGCTGAAGCCGGGGCCAACGACGATGCGTATGCACACGGCAGCCGTCATCTGCCTGATCATGTGCTTTGTGGTCTACATCTTCACGTCTGTGTTCGGAGTGTTGGCCTTCGGCATTGGAGATCACCAGAAGGACTCCCTGGTGAACTCCTTGAAGCCCGTTGGACGCAACCCGTTTGTGGTGCTGACCATGCTGGGCCTGATGCTAAGCGTGCTCACATGCTTCCAGTTCCATGTCTACCCGGTGCGTCAGTTCGCTGCTTATCTGGTGCGACGCATCCGCAAGCGTGGCGCCAACACCGAGAAGGAGGACAAGGTCATTTGGGGCAAAACGGTGACTAGGTGGTTCGATATCTTCTTCGCTCTCTTCAGCGTGGCTGTGATCATTTTCATTGCGGTGGTCGTCAAAGATCTGAGGACGGTGCTTCAATTTGTCGGGTCCTTTGCAGCGGCCTACATTTCCTTCATCGTGCCACCCATTTGGCTCCTCCAGGTCCGACGCCGCTCTCCGAGCTTCTGCTGGTGCACGGCTGAGACCCAGCTCTGTTTGCTGGTGCTCTCCCTGGGCAGCTTCTTCTTTGCATTCGGCACATATACAGCGGTGTTGTCCGTGTAAGTTCGGGCGGTGCCAACCGTGCTTCTTTTGTGGGAGCCGATGCCGTCCGGTGTGTTGGGGCTTTGTGGACTTCTTATAAGCTCCCGCTTTCGAGCCCACAGTGCATCCGCGCGTGCAGCGGCCCCGGAAGACCAAAGGCGCTGTTGTACAGAGCATGCTGCCTAACTCTTGGCATCTCCAGGCGCGAAGCCAAGCGAGCTTATAGCAGTCGCCTGGACCTTTGCTGAGGGGCTCAAGTACATTGTCTAGCTGCCGTTTAAATGCAAGGAATTCAGACGTTTCATGAAGCAAGGCCGCACGCAGCGCACTTGCCAGGAATGTGAGGCGTGGCCAGCGGCACGTCCAGTCTCCATCGACCTCCTGTCAACGCTTGTTTTGTTTGCCACTGTTCGGCTGGCATCGAGACTGGTTCTGTGCCACACATCGTCAGTGCACATTTGCATGGGGCAGATGTTGCACTGATGTCGAGAGTTTGGCCGCTCCACACTGCCCACTTATTTCCAGCGCGGCATCAGCATATCGCCGAGCAGAGCCTGCAAGTCAGACATGCAGGAACGGAACGGAACTCGAGAAAAAAACGGATTCCGCTTCTGCGCTTCAGCAGCTGACGATATTGTTAGAGTGCAGACGATGTACTGCTTTCTGAGCTAGTTTGGTTCTCGTTGGTCTCCAGTATAGCGACATCGTTGCAACGAGTCGCTCATTAGCCTGCCACGGTCTTCGCCGAGCGAGAGATGAAGCAGAGTTGTCCGATTGCAGCTGCGAGATATGCAAAGTCTGGGTGCGTCGATGCTTAGCACGTGAACTCCGAGGCCTTCCGCCGGGACGCGCCGGAGGCGCCGGAGCTCTGCTTTCAGTTTCTGTTTGGAGCTGTCCTTGAAGTCTTGGAGGTTACGGATGTTCATGGAGTGTTCGTGTCGTCCGGCAGTTCACTGAATTTAATGCTGCTTGGTTGTAGGCATCAGTCTCATAGTTTGTATAAGTTGCATAAAGGTGGTTCGAGAGCTGCATGGCGAGCCAGCTAATATCTCTCAAGTGCTAGAGACTCCACCGCGCTGACAGATGCTTAAATCTCTGTGAGAAAGAGAGAGAGAGAGAGAGAGAGAGAGAGAAAAAAAAAAATCGTGCAGGTGTCCCACGAATTGAACATAGGGGAAGAGTCGAAGCACATGATGAAATACAAATATGCTGTTGTCCATTGTGTCCCGTTAAACTTTCACAGTCCCCTCAAAGCCACATAACAAAGGGGGGGCCCATGTGGCCGGGGGACCTAACTCGTCCCTCAAGCCCAGTGCAGAAGAGAGAGTGAAACAAGAAACAAGAAGAGAGCGAGCGAGTTGTGCCAACCATTCAGGTTCCCTCGATGCCCTTTATACTTTCGTACTGTCTTCACAACCGGGGGAACACAAGGTTAGCACAATTGCATGTTTCATCGAGGGTATACAGTCACTTAGTGCATCATCGTATTCTTTATGGCTTTAGCTTCAAAGTGACGTATACTCGTTACTCACTGCCTTGCTCCCAACAGACGTTGGGTGGGCACTCTGCCCGGGGGATTTGACAGTCCCCCAAGCCCAGGAGAGAGAGCGAGAGCGGGAGCGAGAGCGAGAGACAAGATAAGACAAGACAAGAAAGAGAGAAAGAGGGAGGCCGTATTGATTGGTGGTCCTATGAGGGGTGTCTCATTGCTTGCGCGAATCCTCGCGGCGAATCAGCCGTGGCATCCTTTTCCCTGAGTTCGGCCAGATACCATATAAGGGGTGCCTGGAGCGCTGGGGTCGGGGCCGTTCCCCGGGTCGTCTGCGTCGGGGTCGGCAGGGCTGATGGCCGACACATACAGCGAACCCTGAAGCCAGAAACCGTGCTTGCTTGCCAGTTCCAGGCCGATATCTTGTTGTGTCAGGCAGCATCTTTCGTCACACCAGCCCCCCCCCTCCCCACAGTGGGAGTGGGCACGCGTGCGCACTGACTATTGCCCCAATGGCCTTGTAGGGGTGGAGACATCATTGACAGGACGGATGGCGGGTATGCGGCGCGCTTCCCCAACGGCGGAAGAATTTGCAGCCGAAAGTGTCATGTGTAGGTGTAGGGTTTAGGTGTTCTCCTCTTGTCTTGTCCTTGCGAAAGCAAAGGAGAGAGGCCGTGAATCACGGTCAACTTTGAAGTGCGAACCATCAACGGCTTTTACTGCTCCATGCGTTGCGACTTCTTCGCCTTGAAAATCCTTTCCCGGCCTTTTGCTTTGTGGCGCTGCAGGAGCAACAGAAACGGAACCGCCGAAGCGGCATGCCAGCGCGCACTTGGGCAAGGATTGGGGTTCGATCATGTTCTGGCGTGGGCCATTGCCATTCTCCATCTTGGGTTTGCATCCAAAAGTGCCGGTCGCGCCACAGCGACACTTCGATGCGTATCTAAAAACATACTCGGGATGTAGTTTTGCTTCTCAGCCGAACATTGATCCTCTGCGTAATTGTTGGTGTGCTCCTTGATCCTCGAATGCAGGGTCCGGGCGCAATACAGTCACTACAGAAATCCACAGCATGTATAGTCTTCCCGGTGAAACATGCGAAGCTACAATGGTTGGTTGTAGCAGATAGCCGCACACCGTGCTCAACCCTGAGCCAGGTATAGCTTCAATGGCTCTCTCCCTGTTTCTCGCTGTCTCGGTCTTTTGCTATACTTCCTGTTCAGATGAGTGTAGATGACGATGCCTCAGCGCTCACACACCGCGTTCCAAGGTCACCAGGTATGGCTGCCCGGGCACAGCGTGCCCAGGTGCCGCCTTCTCCGAAGGCGCCAGCGGTCCTTGGCACCTTGGCTCTAATGCACTGTTATTGTTGATGAGGGTGATGCTGACGGGGCTTAATGCTGCTGCTGATAATGACGATGATGAGATAATGCTACTACCGCTGCTGCTGATGATATAGAGGAGACTGTAGTGACACGAGTGTGATGAGGATCGGCAGTAGCCTCAGGACAAGGAAGGGCATTAGGGCTTGGGGCATCTTGGGACAGGCTGTGGCAGTTTCCGAAGTTTCCGAATTTGTAGTTGCATGGACAGCTCATTGTTCGGATTTCGGACATGCTGGAGATCATGATCAATCATCTTTTGTCTAAGCTATATAGAGTCTATCTAATTTCTATCTAGCTGCTCGACTGTCAAGGCCGAAGCTACACACGAGTAGCAAAACCTGCACCACATAACTACATGCCAAGCCTAGTTGCAGGTAGATTTGCTGACTTCGAGCGGGTGGTCTTGTTGCCGCCTTGTGCGACACACTGGTCACAGCAGCACTCGCCTGCTCCAGAGGAGAAGGACTTTTTCCAGACCCAACCTCCTGCTGCTGCAACGGCACTCACTGGGATTTTCTCCGGTCTAAGCCAGGCACCCGCGGTTTCCAGGCAGGGGTGGCCGTTGGAGGGATAGAAAACAGGATAAAACGGGCGCTCATCCAGTGATTCTTGAAGTTTTTCCCGTTGGTGAGTTGTAGATGCAGGTAGAAGGTCGCTGGAATCCTTGGGTCAGGATTGGGGTAGGTTGGCAGAACGACTCAACCGTGATCCTCATGGTTCTCATGGCTCAGCTGCTGCATGTTCTGGTCATGATCGCGGTGGCGGGCCTTACAGTAGCTTGGCCAAAGCTCCACCGCTACATTGCTAATTCTGCTAAACACAGTGCAGTGTCGAAGCTCCGTGAAGATCCTTTCCGAAGATTGCGAGCGATGGCCGTTGTTTTGCGCCACTCACCGCGTGCACGGGAGCCCGAGCTGCAGCTCCTGCAGCGTGCTACTAGCCAGACTACAGCCTTATAGAGTCTCCCCGCTTACCTACAGCCAGCCTACAGCTCCATAGAGTGGACAGGAGGGATGCTGGGCATGATTGCTGATGCTGCGGGTCCGCATCCAGTGAAGTCCCCACTGTAACTGATGATTCACCTCCCTCCGCTGGATATGCGACAGTCCACAGCCTCCTCCGCAAGGTTGTAAGCGATGCCTGCCGAGGGTATCTCGCTTGGCCAAAGGAGCCGGCAGACCTAACGTCACGCATCGCCGAGTTAATCGGCAAGGACCGAAACTGTTCTTTTTGGAAAGCACAAGCACCCGCAACCCAGCGCTCCGATCCAACCCACTGTCATCCCGCGCATAGGAGCGGCCGGACCTTTTTGTCCTGGTACTGCCTGGGCCTTGCGCGGCGGATGCCCAGGACTGCCTCCTCTCAAGGCGGTTTCCTTCGTTACTGAAGAGTGACGTGTGCAGTCATTGATGACGTCGGGACCCGGTGAGAATGAATAGAGATTCGCCGTTCCCTTCGTACTGTTGGCATCTTAGAAACATGAGCAGCTCATGCACAGCTACACAGACACACACGCACACTCTCTCTCACCGCAGTTGTGCCACTAACCAGTTCGAAGATGAGATCCGAAGGCCATGTCAACATGCTTGTTGCACAAAAGTGTCTGGGTTTGAACGAGCTGCCCAGGACATGTTTGGAGAAGGGTTTGACATCTTCGCAGAGCTACAGGTCTGCACTTTAAGGGGTTCCTCCGTCTCGAAAAAAAGGACCACAGCTTCTCCACATAGAACCACCAAGCTCCAGGGGTACTTGGGTGAGCGGAAGCCCATCCCAACATTCAACTGACAATCGAAGGCAATGTGAGAGTCAAGCATCCGAATGTCTTCGCCAGCCCAAAACTAAGAAAGTCTAACCTGAATCCTATAGTCTATACTATAATCACTCTCGAACTCGTGGAGTTCTGAAGCTGCACTTCCGTCATGGCCTGTCATCTTTTGGTAACATCGCTGGGCCTAAAGTTCGCCTTTGTCCCGGAGCTGGTAGTGTCCCTTCGGAAGTTCGCCATGCAGCAATGCAGGGGGGGAGAATCGGGTTCCGTAGGGGGTCGTCTGCTTGATGCTTCAGACGTCCAGGAAGAGGGAGTCATGAAACTCTGTTCTGCCCCCAGGTGCAGCCACAGCTTGTTGCGATCGTGTTGGCCAGGACTACATTCATAGAGCCTGAGCTAAGCGGTCCTGCAAGGCATTTACAAAAGAGCGTCGGGACTAAGACGTGTCGGATTCGCACACTAGCATCCTACCATGCTGCAACATGTCACCAGCATGTGCACATTGCCTAGCAGATCTCAACAGCCAGGACAGATGGTGTGCATCATCATGATCCTAGTCAGTCTTTGCACAATTGCCAGTTCTACAGGCAGTGTTGGGAGATTGGTGGTGGCGGTGGTAGTGGTGGTGGTGCAGCAACATCACAAGAAAATATCAAATATATGGCATGCTACCACCGCAGCGATATAAGTTGGCTCGCATAAAGCAGAAGTCGCGATAGTGCTGATATTCGGGTGCGCCCTCGGTACACATGGTGATGCGATGCTAGCCTTTCCTGACTTCCTAAGTGCCCGAAGAGTCCGCATCATATCAGATGAGAGCTGTTTGCAGCGAGTGCCAAACGAGAGACGGAAAAGGTGAGAACAGTCGCAATCACGCCGTGCTGAAAGCATGACTTTGACCTGGCACAACGAGTGCTTCATCGGCCGGAAACCCAAGGCCTACATGACCTAAATCCTACCGGACACCGTGTCGCAGTTAGCAGCATTACACTATCGAAGAGTCTTCAGGTAACTCAACCATGCTGAGAGAGTATAGCTTTCACCAAGCATGAAAATCAAAATTGTACCGTGGGCCTTCAACCAAACTGCTATGCACAACCTTAGCTCGAAGTGCATGCAGAGCTCTTACTTTTAAGAGTGTGCATTTCCACACTTCAGCTTATTTCGAGAGGTTACGTGAAGGATCACGACTTCAAAAGGCAGAGTTATTATACAAGGTGTTGCAGCTGAGGCAACAAGTGCTCTGATTATTATTTCATGCTAAGTCCAAAAAGTCGCGTGAATGGATCTCAATCCGACCCTGCTTGGATGCAGAGCAAACTTTCGTATGACCGTCATGTTCAGAAAAATCATGAACACCCCTCCTGAAGAGCAGGAGCTCAAAGGCCGGGCCATCGGCAGCACCACTGCCGATTGCGCCCCAGCAAGAGGGCGCTAGCAGCGGGGCCGAGGCCAGCAGGAGCTTTCGTAGTGTTTAGATTACCGTAGCCCTCGCGGATCTGACCTGGGTTTTGCAATTCAGCGTGCCTTTTTTTGATTTGTGATTGCTCTCCTTTGTTGGTCGGTTGGAAGTTGGGCATATTTGAGGCCCCAAACTTTAGAGGAGCTCGGGCTGATCTCGTGCGCAGTTTGTTTGGCCGTCACGGCGGGCGCATGTGCAGTTGGTGGGTGGTGCCACCCGACGTCGAACACACCCCAAGCAGGGTTGCAGATCTCGCGCGGAGATTCCGCGTTGGCCACTCCAAACCTCGTGAAGTAGACTGAGCCATCCTCGCGCGGTGTAGCCCGAGAGTGGAACAAACCTCCGAGTGCTTGCAGGTTCTTCTCCACACGGTGCGCGGGGGCCATGCTGCTCAGGTGCAGCGGGCCGTGTCCGCTGCCCTCCAGGTGGGATGTCGCATGCAGATTCCAGTTGACCGGGGTCTGTTTGGTCTGGTATGGCTTGCTTAGCTTTAGGTGAGTCTTGTTGCCCCAGGAGTTTGAACGGACTTCTGTGAATCCGTCCAGCGCGACGGTCATGTCGGTTTCTATTGCATTGATCGAAACTCAATCTTCCCTCATAACCTCCAGCGACCGAGGAATGTCCGACTCACGATGGCTTATACTATGCAGCAAGTCAGACCAACATCCCATGCTAAGAAGCCTTAAGGCTTGCGGACCCTACATACCAAGCAGCAAGCCTAAACCGAGTTTCAGGCAGTCTTCTTGGGTTTGTGGAAGCTTGCCAGCTGTGCAGGTTGAGGAAAGCCAAGGATCCAGAGCCTCAGAGTGACTTGGGCATGTAGACAATGAGCAAGATAACATGATCCAGGATAATGACCACACTCTTCTTCATCGTGATGATGGTGGTCATGAGTTGCAACTCAACTGTGCATGTCAACAGCCTCCTAAAACGATGCTGGCGCCTGTAGCTTCGGTTTCATACTTCCAAGCCACATGCTGTTCGCCTGTCAGCTGTCGTTATGAGAACTGGAAGACTCGTACTAGGGGAATTGTCATCCAAGATTTCCTGACGCAAAGCTTTCGCACCGACCATCGAACGGTCAGATAACGGTCAGACACGAGGCTACGGAGGAAGAAGCGCAAGTCCAGTGATCGACAGATTGACATAGTCGAAGTATTGTAGGACGGTTAAGGTCATGTGAGTTCGAGGATTACATCTGTCCGGCATCGACTAAGCGAAAGCCAGGGCTTTGACGGATTGTCAAGGCCTGTCCTGCCAGAGTTTCCGACATCGAAGCGCGAAGCCGCAAACGGGGTGCAAACTTTGCAATTGTCGAGTCACCGGCTCAATACTAGGCACCCCCGCGGCCTTTCCATGCCCTTTCTCATCATGCAGCTGAGGTGCTACTTCGCGCTCGCTCGCCTGTTGGATTTCAAGGCGCCGGGGGGGGATGGGGCAAACATCGTGTGTCTGCCCATGCACAGGCGTCTCGAGCAGTTGCAAGGACACGCAGGATTGTTTTAAAGCAATGTTGGAAGCTGCTCCTGACAAAAGCTGGGAAACTGCTCACACGCGAATCCTAGGCGTCTATTAGTCTGTCCCATTACTAAGTCTCCGAGAAACAAGTCACCACCGTGTGCTTCTCCAGCTGGACCTCTTCGTCCTCTGGCGCCGTGCATCGGCACCGGCCAGCTCCTTCAATGCGGCAGGGGAGCGCCTGGCACTGCGTGTGGGAAGGTGCCCCTGTGTCTGACGGTTGATACTGCATGCACCTGTGCTCGCCGGGTTTGCAGGTTTGTGTTAACGTTATAAAAGCAAAACAAAGACCTGTTCCCGACCATGGGTGAAAGACTCGCTCAATCCCCAGATAAAGCCGTGAACCTCAGGCTCTGTGCATTTAAGGGGTTCGGAAACTGAACGAGACAGCTTTTGATTCCACCCGACCCCCCACCCCCGACCCCACGCGCCCCTCCCAGCGAGGGGGGTGGGGGGTATTCTCTGCCCGCTTGTTCACAGTTCCGTGGTCGACATCTTCATCTTCTCGGACGTGCTGGAGCCTACCATGATCGAGAAGAGGCCTTGCCGAAGGTGAGACTCACCATGTGTGCCTTCGCATCCTTACAGATTACAGATCATCTGAAGAGACCTGAAGAGTCTCCAGCGAAGCACCGCAGTGCTGGATTTGGCGACTGCCTAGAGGCTTCACCATTATCGGCAACTCCGTCTGTAGAGTCCCAGACCATCTAGTAAC